CACGTTCGCTTTTGATGCCATTAAGTCTTTCAAACTCTGCCTCATTAACATATTGTTAGATTCTAAAGTGAATACTTTAACTTGAAAGCATGGCAAAAAAGCAAATGTGATGGGCAGTAGGGGGTTATATATAGAAAGAGAGATTGTAGGTTTTAACCCTGTCTCCTACAAAATGATGTTCCAATTCTATTTAACTGCAATCTCAAAAACATAAAAACATGTTTCCTCCTGAGTAATGGTCGCTGTTTAAAAACTAATTTACTTTCTAAATTGAGAAAAAAAAAAAATAATAAGGCAACAAAATGACTTGGTGAGGTTCAGTTAAACTTCATGGTTAGGCTCAAAATATTACATTATTGATGTTAAGTAAGATAAATATAGCTTCTGGGACACAAACAGTGGTCTATTCGTAATGTTTTTGCCAATGCCATTGAATGGAAATAACTTTTCTAAGAGACTACTTAAAATGAAGAGTGAGCTATTTAAAGAAAGGCATTTAGCAGAGTGACTGCACTGCAGCTTCTCTTGAGGGTGACCAATTCAGTAAATCCCCGTCCACTTTGCTGTCCCTGTAAACGTTACCTGCAAATGTTCAAAAGGCAGGCTGGCTGCAAACTGTGTTTTGGATTCCGAGCGTGTGCATACATGTTACTATGGTATGTTTATGCAGATAATTGGTTCACTACAAAGAAATAAGACCTCCAGTTCATGTCACGGCTTTGAGCCAATGAAAGTATACAGAAAATTAGCAATTTATTAACGGGTAACACAGCTTTTTGAATATTCCTGTATATTACATTTAGAAAAGAGAATATTGTTTATTTAGCAACCACTATTTATATGAATACATGTTGCAAATAATCCTTAAGGTGTATTGGCTTTTCAATACCAATTAAAAAAAATAAGCAATTTGCTAGACTTAGAATACACAAACTGCGAAAAATTCATAAATAAAAGAGCATGGAGTATAGCTAAAGAATTTGGCATGAAGTTTCCACATGAGTGTTTCCAAGGAAATCCAAAACATGATTAGGGAGTTCTTGGTTAGTTGGTATGACCCACTGTTAGGGAGTTTTATCTGAGACCAGGAAGTGGAGACACCTGTCAATCAAGACCAAATCATCCACAAAATCACCTCTTCCAGCCTTCGTAATGTAAACGACAGAGGAATATGTTTTCTTATTGCTGTAATTACCAAAGGCTCATTTACAGGAAGTGAAATTAACTATTCTGACCATCATTTGTGAACATTTATTATAAAGGGGTTTCCGCATTTGCATTAAAAGCAACTTTTAGCTGCACCTTAAGAGATTTCCTTATTGAATTGGACATTCAGTCGAGGTGTTTGCCACTTAATTCCCATAAATCACTATGTTAACAAAGCCAAGTGTTGGTGTTTGCAAATGAGACCCAAAGCAGTTCAATTACTAATTGGACTTTGCCCCAGTCTATAGAGACGTTAAGTCAGACTTCAAGAAGGTGTAATAAATCAGAAATTAAACAGTTCAGTATGATTAATGTAGCTTATAATGGGGTGCAGAGGCCTGAAAACGAGGGGTGTATTGTTTGTCACTTGGCGAGTCACATGATTTAGGGATTAACCGAGTCCTCCATCATATGCTTTGAGTCTGTCTGATAACACTGCAGCCCAATCCTCCTCTGTGTGGAGTTAATAAAGCCGCTGTGCAGACAGACACAGGGCATTACGGCTCAATATGACTTCTGCACGCTTGAGGGGATCTTTACTTGGGCTGTCTACTCTACAGGCGACACTACACACTCATCATCTGTGAAATATGGGCTGTTTTCGTTGAAAGAAGTCAGGAGATGAATGCAGATAAAAAGCCAAAATGGCATATTGATTTTTCTTCGTAAATCTATACTAAGGTGAGCAGACGTCTCAAGAATATTCCACACAGTCCCTAATTACAAGCAGTGGTCCTGAATTCCTAAACATGCGCTTCGATCGGTTATAGTCTAAAAAAACTATAGTTTTGAAACATTGTGTTGGTTTTGGCCAAGGACAGGCTTTTATTTCTAAATAAATGATGGCTTTTTTTCGTACAATAGTTCCAGTCAACTATTCAAGTCAACTATTGATTGATTGATTGATTGATTGACAGCTACGTAAAGCAACAAAGGTGGCAAATAGACGCAACAATGTTGAATTCAAACAGTTCCAATGGAAATCAAGCCACCCATTGCTGAAATGGAGGCCCAACACTTTGAACGTCAAAAAGCAAAAAGCTTACTGCTAGGAGGGAAATATTTTGCACAATCTATTTGTTCTGCCTCACCAGGTTGCTCCCAATTATTTGATCTGATTACCGCGATCATGTTATGTCAGTCTGCATCACCGTGTTGAAACCCAGAGGGAACAAGATGATAATTTCAACTCCTTGCTGAAATTGGTTGGATATTAGAAACTCTCTCTGCAGCGCCGGGGGCGACATGTTGTTTTCTCTCCGAAAAATGAACCGGTGCTCACTTAATGCTTACGATATCCGCTTCATGATAGCTCACACATACTCAAAAAGACAGGGCGAGCTCAGCAAAGTGCCACTTCGAATCAGCGGGGAATGAAGGGGGTCCGGGGCCGAGGCAAGGTGCAACTCAACTCCTCTCCAGAGTCCCGGAAGATTACTGTAATGTCATGCATGTCTGATGTTGTTACATTTCACGTCAGCTGATCCTTCAAATGTAGCAGCAAACACTGCAGAAGGCCTGCGAGACGAGCATGAACATGTAAATACATATGGCGTTTAAACTTGAGGCGGATACCTCTATTACTTGTACATCAGTATAATTTGTTAAAGTTGTGAATGTTTACAGAATAAGCTATTACCAAGTTCTCTTAGCAATGCACCCATGGGTGTACAAACAACTTCCACTGTGTTGCTTTGATAATGAGGAAATGTTAAAAGCTTTTTCTGGCTAACAATGATTTATGTTTACCGTCAAAGTCACAAAATGGCTAGGGTTAGTAAACAGTCAAAATACGACAGTGGACATTTTTTTTGAGTTTTATTTAGTTTTCGTCGAGATACATTCAGCGACGTTAATTGACCGTTTCTGCCAGTGCTGGCTTTGAGGAGATAAATTGAATGTTTTGTACACTAATCAATTATAATCATTCCCCAGATCCACTTGAACGTGCGTCATAGTCTCAACTCTCCCTCCTCTTATGTCATCAGGGACAAGAGTTTGCTTGAGTAGATGATATATAAAGGTTGAAAGTAAGTATTACTATGGAAGTGTTCGTCGCCTTTAGTCAAAAGGGTTCACAGCTGGAGAGCGACTTATTAACTGATCCTCTGATTGTGTATTTAATCTCCAAGCAAAGGACGAGAACAGAATGCATGATTTGAGTTCAGCATAAAAAGAGAGCATCTTTCTCATTGTTCCTCCATCGCTAACCTGGCTTGATTAAGTTCCAGTTATTTTAAAAAGCCTAAATGTCAAAAAAAATAACTTCTCAAATAGGAACATTTCCTTCCTTTCTCTTGCTATAAAATGTCAATTCTGACACTGTTGGCTGAACAAAACAAGCAAATTGAAGATGTCACCTCGGGCTATGCAAAACTGATGGGCAATTTCCAACTTATTTTTCAACCTTTTTATAGAAAAGAACTTCTAATGTGAAACGTCTCTGCATCATATTGCATTTAAACTCATTGTTTTTTATGCTCAGTGCTCTTATTCCACTTACACAATGTACAAATATGCTTATTTTAATTTACAAACTTAGACCTATTTTGATCATAACAAATATTAAAGGCATGTATCAGAAGCAAAGTGCATGAACAATTATCAATACGAATTTTCCGTATTTTGATTTTAAAACCGAATTTCTTTAGTGTTTTACACTCTCATCTAACCTAGAAACATATATTAATATATTTACTTGACATTTTTGTATTCATTTAAAGCAAGCTGATGTTAAAGCTATTGTTTTTATGTCATTCTGCGCATGACTAAATCTCCACTATGAATCAGGTAGTGATTCCACAAGTGGTTTAATATCCTGCCCGTCACATCTGGGAGAGGAATCCAGCTGCATGAACGGAGACAGAGGAAAATGTCCACTGAGGGTTAAGCTCGCAGAGGGAATGAGGCATCTCTCTGTCATGGGGTCATTTCTCTTGGTCAAACACCTCACACACCCCTCATTGGTTGATGGCTCTAGAGAATACACTGCTGCAGCCGTCTCCTGTATAAGGTCAATAAAAGTAATGCAGCACAGAAGGAGGAACGGCTGTGAATAATTTAGTGGGGGGGGAAGATTTGAAATTGTTCTCGATACTGCAGCAGCGGCAGAGAGAAAACATTAAAAAGAAAACTCACGCCCACGTATAGACCTCATTACCTAATCATTTCCCAGTGGTGTCCCGGAGACAAAGCTGGGAAGGCCTTATCTCCTCTGGTGTTGTGTTGGGTTTAATCCCTTTAACGGAGACTCAGCATTTTTTAGAGACTTTATTGCATGCAAAATCCACATTTTGAATGAAAACACAGCTGCACACACAGCATTGCAGAGAGAAGCATATTAGGATGCCTGGCGATTGATTTCTTGTAATGAGGCGGAGGAACTTTAAACAGCTTGCAAAATAATTTAACATCACAATACATAAATCATGCAGGGGGTAAAATAAAAATGAGAATCTGTCATGGTTAGAAGGTTAGAGCAGCTTTTTAGTTGCCTTAGAAATTCAACATCTGAGATCAAATGACGGTGTACTGATTGCATTTTTAAGCAGGTAATCAGTCAAAGGTGGCAGCTTGTAATTAGAAGCAAACAACATCTTTAAGCTGGAATTAATGCATGTTTATTTACCAGGAGATGGGCACTTTTATTTTGTAGGACTTGTTTTAAACATTTCACTGCAGACAGGTTATTTAGAAAGGATGACAGTTTTAACATAACAACATATTTTTCAACCCCTTCTGTTCACACCTCAGCTCGCATTATTCATGGTATATAAAAATAAAATAGATGTTACCTTTGACTCCTCTGCTCGCTCTGGGGAGGACTGAGACATTCTTGCAGCTGTTATTATAGTCAGTAACTTCCATGGTGAGGTTCCCTTGCTCCGCGCAGCCCGCAGACACCTCCCCGGGCAGCACGCTCACATTCCCCGCCTGTAGAGCCATCCTCTCCGGTGACAGGGACGATAAGTACCCGCTGCCTCAAACTGGAGCCGCGCTGGAATCAACTTGGAGTCGCCGTATCTTTTTAGTTTCATAACAGCCGGAGAGGGGGCGTTGTGAAAACTTGGAAAAAGCCCAAAACTGGAGTTGAGTGATTCGAAAACTGTAACAACGTGGAATAAACGGAGAATAACAGGTCCGTGAAGAAGTTCATTAACGTGCGGAGATGAAGCGCCGCGACGCGCGCACTGCACCGGACTGAAGCGGACTGAAGCGCGGCTGTGGAGGAATGAAGCTGCGCTGCTAGGGCAACCTCTCTCTCTTTCTCTCTCTTTCTCTCTCTTTCTCTCTCTCTCCTCTCTCTCTCTCTCTCTCTCTCTCTCTCTCTCTCTCTCTCTCTCTCTCTCCTCTCTCTCTCTCTCTCTCTCTCTCTACTCATACTCGTCTCCTCTCTCTCTCTGTCCCTGTAGTTCAGTCACAGCAGAGACGTAATACAGAATGTAACTAAGTACATTTACTCTTCTCGTGTAACATCTCGAGACAGATTTGATGAAATGATGGAGATGTAAACACTTTGAGGATTAATTGCATTTTGCACACGTTTAAATTATTATTATTTAATTATTGTTCCTCCACTACTTTTTGTGGGCAGATGTTGTTTTTACTCATTTGCATTACCCATTTAGCAGTTTAATGTTATCAAAACCAAATATAAATCATCTGATACATTATTATATATTATTTTAGGCTAAGCGACCTAGTATGTAAAGGAACCCCACCTTTATCAATTGCAACATTCAAGTGATGAACTAATAATGCCTAATAATTGCAATACAGTAGTTAAATATGACATTTTGAATGATTTTGAATGCAGGGACTGAGTATTTTTCTTTGTAGTATTGCTACTTGCTCCCACCTCTGCATGAATAAGCTTCTTATATGCAAGGTGGGGGGACTTCAGGTTCATCTCTTTGAAATGAATTTGAATTGCTCTTTCCGAAGTGACAGTGGAGATCAAATATAAACTGATTATGTTGCAGTTGCTTTAGCAGTGGGAGAAGAGAGGTTAGTAGGGACAAATGCACATCTTTTATCGTTTTGAGTTCAGTCTCAAGAGTTTATTTTCTGTCTGTACGACTGAAATCATGTCAGCCATTCACTTTCTGGAGGGAAGGGGCAGAGGGTTAAATACATTGCCTCAAAGTGAGTGTTTTGTCGACAGGCATCAAGTACTGTTGCATGACTGTAGCAAGGTACAGAAAGGTTTGTGAGCAGTCCAGGATCCAATTCAAAAACCAATTTACTGTGGGTTCACTTGATTTAGCCGTTTGGCAGTTGCTTTTAGTGAAAGAGCTGCAACACACACTCACACTATCTGAACAGCACCAAACAGCAGTTAGCAGCTAGTTTCAGACAGAGAGACATGCAATCAGAAACCACATTGAAGAAATACTCAACCAGTCGCGTATTCAAAATCCTTCTTAGATTTTAGACATTCTAAGTATTCTAGTATTTTATTTGTTCTTCAGAAAATGCCCTTAAAATGCTAGCATAAAATAGAAAAACTCAAGTAAAATTCAAGTACTTTAAAGTTTTAGATAGATACCTCGCTCCACTGCACCCTCGCTGTTTTATATTTAGGATACACGTCAGTGTCCAATCCCTCAGGGCCCCAAAAACGCCTACAAAGGTTTCCTCTTTCCTCTTTTCATGGATTAATTGTGCTGCTGGGGTATAAATCAAGTGTGAGTGAGTGTGTGGAAATACATTTGGTGTAGGGGAGCTTTGGGGGATGTAATTGCATATTCCAAACCACTTAAGACTCTCAAGAGCTAGTTGGAAATTCTTTATTAGGAACAACCCCCTACGTTTTTTCTGGACAAAACTTAGATTGCTAAAGACACAATATTGTACTTTTTGAGATAATATGACAATTATACTACAAACAAAACCCCCCATAAAACCCTTTGTGAGTTGTTAAGTGTGTGAAGATGCAAGCGATAGAAGCGAACAGTGGAAAACAGAGGCTTTTGGGGAAAATATGTAATTGTTACTTAAAAATGTAAGGGGACACGATGTGGACAAAAGGTGCTACCAACGAAAGAATGTCACCTAGAGTGCAATACAAGCTTCGACAAGCCCTTCCTGTAGCCCTGTTGTTAAGCTATTGAAGTCTCCTTGGTGAAAGTCCCATGTTTTTTTGACCCACCGCTCCACCCAGACCTCCCCCTACGACTGCGGTCTTTGATTAGTATCGTATTTGTTCTAGGTGGTCGTCAAAACGTAATCCAAGAGAAAATACGTTTCCCCGAAATGTATTTGACCCTTGTATAGGAACGTGACTCTGAGGAGGCTGCCCTTGCTCAATTACAGCACCAGTGTCACTGGTTTTGTCAGAAATCCTCTTTCAAGAAATGGTTTTCAATTTCATGTTCCATTTCAAGGGCTCGATAACGGAGGCAATCTCTTCTTCTCCGGGATGGATGCTGGATGTCAGAGGGGATCATCAGTGGGACAAAGAGCAGCAATTCTGCAAGAGTAGAGGTGAGTACCAGATATCTTTTCCTAAAGTGTCTATGTGACAATTTTAGCACAGAATTAGATATTGTACAACCTGTGTTTTTGTTTCAAATTATTAGTTTTAAACTTGAGAATGTCCTGGAGATTGTATGTAGCCTGTGGAACAACTGTTACCTTTTTTTTTATTGGCTATTTGGCCGACCCGCAGGAGCAAAGGGGGAGGTTATGGGACTCATGATGTGCAGCGTGATGGCTTTGTTTATGTGGAAACGATCTGAAAGTGCCTTGAGGTTTTAGTTCATGTGATACCGCTTGAGAAATGATACAGATGCTTTGAAAAATGTTTGGAGGCTGCGGGGAGAGTGAGGTTGCACAGCGGAGGAGAAGGGCTACACTTTTTGTGTTTGTGATTTGTTTGATGGCTGCTGTCAGTCCTGCTGATGCTTTAACAAATGTTGCCACTGCTTTTTGTACTGCTTTTATACTGCTCTTGTGTGGGATGGTGTGTGTGTGTGGTGTGTGTGTGTGTGGTGTGTGTGCTGTGTGTGTGTGTGTGTGTGTGTGTGTGTGTGTGTGTGTGTGTGTGTGTGTGTGGTGTGTGTGTGTGTGTGTGTGTGTGTGTGTGGGTGTGTGTGTGTGTGTGTGTGTGTGTGTGTGTGTGTGTGTGTGTGGTGTGTGTGTGTGTGTGTGTGTGTGTGTGTGTGTGTGTGTGTGTGTGTGTGTTGCTCCAGCTTGGCCTAACATGTGCTGCTGTGTTCTTCCACGTTTTTGAAGATAACAGCTTATTAAAGCGATGCCAGAAGTCGCTCCCTTCTGCTTCCTCTGAAGCCTCCAATGTTGTTTGGCAAGTTTGGCAGCCACTTCACGTTGATTTTTTTCCACTGTGTCTGCCACAGGTCATGACTAGCAAGTCCGATGAGATGAGGAACTTAAATCCCTGCAAAAGGCAGCCCATATGAAGCACCAATGCTAGTGATTTGCAGAAAAGGAATGTCAGCCCGAGCATTTAAGAATTTAAAGTGGCCACAGGAAAGCTCAGTCTGCTATTTTTCCTCAAGCTAGAAAACAGGATAACTTAAACTTGACTGTTCATATAATTGCTTGCTGCTATCGGCAGTGGAATGGTGCATGATTATTATATTGTTTTAACCACTTTTTTCACACTAATAACATACATGAACTTTAAAATTAGTGCACATGTCCATAGTGAATGCACATTGCCTTATGATGTCAAATGACTGACTAACTGATTCTATGTAACTACATAATTTTGGAACAAGTATTAATACTCTGTAATTGTCACTTGTAAATTACCCAATTTTCAGTAAACATACAATTGTCATACATTTGACACTAATGGGTAAAATAACCTTGTATCAATGGTACTTATCAAAATAGTATTGGTCTCGTGTGGTTGGTTCCACAGGGATCAATCTTAGAACCCTTAAGACCTTTGAACAGCAGGTAAATATTTTTCGTATGGGTTGTCTTAATCTGTCATCCGATAAAAATCGCTATGAATAGAATCCTAATGAATGTATGAAATCAGCAGAAGCTATTGTTTAACTGCCTAAGGCGCAACCGGTATAGTCCTATATAATCTTAAGTCTTACGTTGCATTCTTTGTTTTGCAATTTGTAATGTTATTTGCAAGAATTCTTCCTTAAAGGGTGTCAGAGGTTCCCCTGCAAAGAAATCATTTATTTTTTAATTTCTATATGATTATTTAATAGTATACAACTTGCATGCAGGCATTATATTACTGACTACTGTAATCATTTGTCTTATGATTCTTATTTCCCCATATGATTTCCTTACTGTTTACAGCTTTGAAATACTAATATGGGACACAGAGTAAAGTAGATAGGAGTCTTGAACCACATTTAAGGTTTGATTGACACTCAATGTCAATGCATCAGCAACAGAAACTTCACTTGAACCCCCGACCAACTTAACGATGCACCATGAGAAATGCTATGCCCCAAAAGTGTGCCAGTTACCCTCTGCTTTCCAGTCTGTCCAGATGTTGACAGCTTTCCTCACCCCAAGCACTCAATTAACTACACCCTGTAAAATAAAATCGAAATCAACCGCGGAAGTGAATCATAAAACGTTGTATAAAAGCTGTCAGATGATGCAAATGTTTGGTAAAGTCTAGAAAGAAGAGAACCCAAATGCATAAACGTAGCAAATAATGTCTAAATTCAGCCGTAAAACCCTGCAAAAATATGTTATCTCAGCAGCGTGTGCGTCTGTTCCCCAATCCAACTTTAAGATGCTATGAGCGAGGTTTTGCGTTTGCAAACACAGACACATTTTAAGCGTGTGTCTGAGTGTAACAGAGCGACCCTGCCTCGTCTAAAAGCATTAGTGCTTTCATCCTTCATTACGAAGAAAACAGCCCATGATTGTGAGCTTTGATTACTGTCTGGGACACACACTGGGTTTGTGCACACAGCACAGAAACTGAGACAGGTCTTGTCTCTGTGTTCTATGAGCAGCTTGTGAACAGACAAAATGCGCATGTCAGCAAAGAAGTGGGAACAAAGAGTTGCAAGTGTTTTAAATTCATGGTATAACCAGCAGCCAGACTAACAAAGCTGAATAAAGAGAAAGCTGCTCTCCTACACTAAACTAATCTCAAAGGGATTCAACTTTAAGATCTTAAAAGTGTGGCTTTCTTTTTTTAAGGAATGT